CTAAATATGAACTTGGTATCAATGATCATTGACCTTTCCTCTATTATAGTGTACTGCTTAAATTTACCTACCAAAATAACGGCAGGTGGATGGTTTGCATCCTGTCATTCATCTTACTCATGTCAAACATATCAAAATAAGACTATTGATCACCTAACAACAGGTGTTCAGTTAATATGTAAATTTAAGAAAGAACGGAAGACAATAAAATGGATATGTGCAGTTGCAGATCTAGCAGCAAACTGCAAATTTTCTCAAGTTGAGAAAACCCTTGGTGATAAAAAATAAATTGAATAAATGTACACAATTACAATTGTTACAATAAATAATAAACAGTACATTTAAATGTTACCATACATTATTTGACAAAACATTTTTAAGCATAATCATAAAACTGTCACCCACAGATATTTATGTTATTATAATCTATCATAATTTATAATGTATTTCAGAACATCTACATGTTACCATCTGGAAAAACAATTAATTTATTTTCCCATGTGTTCATTTTTAATTTTATATATTTATTTTATTCGTAATTATTATTTTTATGAAGACATTTATATCAACATGTAACCAACCCTCTGCAATAACCCCTATTTGTGAAAAACAATAATTTACAGTTACGCCATAAAATCTTAAACACAACAAAATCTGTCTGATAAAGCAGTGCATTAGTACAGATAGTATTTGCAAGGGAGCAAATATCTGTTGTCAAAGAGCTGCAATAATAAAGTTTGGGAAAACACTCTCAGCAAGTGCAGCTTTTAATAAGAGCTGTAACATGATATCAGCTGTTTGTGCTTCCATCTCAAATTGCAACATGGTATTAATCTTATTCAATCCAAATATGTCTTGAAATCTCATTTATAATATGCAGCATGCCATTTGTAAAATGATCCTTACCAAGTTTCAAACAAGAAAAACCACTGACGGTGTGCTTCTATGAACACCCTTATTTCAGTGGGGGCAGCACATTTCAAGATCTCACAGGAGCAAATAGGTTCGCTCTAGTATGAAAAAAACTTAGACTCGGGATTATCAAATTATCACCTATCACTGTTGAAGCCTACACAGATGCCTGATATTGCTAAGTGAAGGAAAATGGACCTGCAGCAACCATGTGTTACAAGAATGTGGAATCTGATGTGAGGAATATTACCCCAGTCACTGACAAAACATCCACAGGCAAAATCTACACAACCACAGGCAAAATTTATGTTCAGATGGTAGGTGTAGACTTTCAGAGGCACAATGTTTCTCTATACTTCAGTAATGACTAACAAACCCCAGATACAGTGACCCCAGAACTGCCCGTCTATTAGCATCTACACAGAAAAAAATATTTTTCAAAACTATAAATAAAGATTACTGGAGTATGTTTTACAAAAAAAAAAAAAATACTATGCTTCTTCTTTGTAACTATTTACAAGGTGGTAACTCGTGAACCACCATATTGAATGACAAAACTTAATATGGTGGAAGTTAAATGGGAGTTTCCATTCTATTCATGCTGTCAGTTACACAGTATGATAACACAGCTATAAATGCCACTTGGTCATTTAACACCATGGAGACATGATTGACAACACAACAGTAAAACAAGTACGGCAGGTAACCTGGATTATGTGCTGAAAGACTCATGTATGACAGGAAAATCCATAACAGACATAATGTAAAAAGCCTTTATTCTAAAACAACAGGGGTTTTCATTTAATGTTCATTACTGATAGCTAAATATATGTTTGCATAAAATATATTTTAAACATTTGTGTCTTCAATCCAAACTGTATAAATTTAAGTGAACTCTTGATGAGTGCACTGGGTGTTCTGATTTTCCGAGCGATGAAGTCAATACAGATTTAGACATCAAGCATAAGAACAGAGGCAGCAGGGATTTAATTATATTTGATCTCATGCCTGAGCTGACGGGAAGAGCTTCACTTCACTGCATTCAGGCATTTTTATGTCATGGCATCACCAGACTGGGTGTCTCCTCGCTGGCTGTCTTGCATAGATTAGCCCATGGCGCTATAACAACAGCATGAACCGCGATTAAAACCTGCCATGCATTCCTGTCATCACAGATGAGAAAGAGCTAAATGACAACTCAGCCCTCTCTGTCATCTGTTGCCTCTCAGGGAAAATAAATCAGATATCCAGTGACCTGTAACTGCCTCAAACACTAAACCAAACCACCAAGGTGGAGTTCTGCTTAAAACACCAAAATCTGTTGCAAAGATTGTTTGACTAGTCAAAAATGGCCACACATGATGTTTAAACAAATGTATTACAAAAAATGTGTCACTGGTATGGAAAGCTTGAGAAAAGAAGCTTTCATACCATACATAACATACTGTGTATAATGTAGCACAAATGATGTTGAATAAAGATGGTCAATTAGTTTTTTTTTAATTGAATTAATCACATTATATGCAGATTATAATTAATAACGCTACAACTTAATTTTCATAATATTACTAGAAATCTTGACCTTATTTTCAAAATATTATGACTTTAATCTTGTAATAATATAAAAATATTTTAATATTTTATAAATACTTAATTCTTAACTTTATGACCTTATTCTTGCTTTATTATTTTATGGTTATTTTAGGCATATTATTTTATGACTTTATTTTCATTTTTTAAATTATATTAATTCACATTCATTTTAATGTGACACTTTTTTTGTAAGAGAACCAGCATAAAATTATATAATAATTCATACAATTTTGAATTTAATAATATAATAATATACTTATTTATTATATGAAATTAAAGTAATCTAATACTGTACATTTTCAAACACAGACAGAATCTCCCTTTCAAAACGTGTATGTAACTACATTACAGCACTGATATATGTGACCCTGGACCACAAAACCAGTCATAAGTCGCACAAGTATATTTGTAGCAACAGCCAACAATACATTGTATGGGTCAAAATGATAGATTTTTCTTTTATGCCAAAAATCATTAGGATATTAAATAAAGATCATCTTCCATGAAGATATTTTGTAAATTTCATACTGTAAATATATCAAAAGTTTATTTATCATTAGTAATATGCGTCGCTAAGGACTTCATTTGGACAACTGTAAAGGCGATTTTCTCAATATATATATATATATATTTTTTGCACCCTCAGATTCCAGATAAGCTTATTTATTCAGCTTTCAGATGATATATAAATCATCAATCATCAAAAAATGGACCCTTATGACTGGTTTTGTGATCCAGGGTCACATATAGTATGTACTGACAAAAGCATGAAATGAGCTCTGAATAGTCAGCTGTCAAAATGTTGTGAGCTATTTGGTAATAATATTGTACTGCTAACAGGCGGCAAGGTCAGCAACACCCCACAATACATTTACATAGATTTTGTTGAGATACTGCCAAGTACTTTTAGTGTAATGTGTAAGGAAGGATAGAATGATTATCTGTAATTGTTCATTAAGAGAGTGTTTCTTGCCCAATTCTTCTTTCTCAGAAAAAATCTGATATACTTTCTGTTTCTGCTGTTTCAAAAGCCCCATCTAGTGGCAGAGAATTAATTCACATTTTCAATAAGCCCGTCTGCTGTTTTAGTCCAATGCGAAAATCGCCCCATGTTTTTACGCAGAAAACACGCAGTTGTAAATGTGAGATAGTCACAAATGTCAGTAAGATATATATTTTAAATTAATATAATAATTTATATGTTTGACTCATCCCTTTTCTTAAAAATGGTTTAAAGGCTGAAATGGGATGTTTATCATTTTATAAGACTTGTTTTTGTGAAAACCTGTATTTTCATGTCATTTTACAGTTTAATTTGTTACAATAGACTTTTCCCTATTCCAGTAATACATTGATAATTTTATTTGTTCAGGTCTTAAAAAGGGTCATAAAAAGCATTAAGTTGATTTTTTAAAATCCGGCAGATATCCTGTAAACAGTTAAATAAAACTCCTTCTTTGATATATGCTGATATTTGTGTTTTGAAAATGTTTTTGATTGACATTTCAGGGGGGCTAGTTAAATTCATTTCGGCTACCAGAGTGCCTGTCTGAATGGCTACCAGGGATTTTGAAATTTTGCAAGATTTCTTAATTGTTTAGGAAAAAAATCAACTTGGATGTAAACCAAAATTATAGTGAAAATACACCATATTACCAAAACAGAGCAGAGCCACACAAAACAACAAAAACAGTCCTGTGTACTTAAAATAACTCTGTCCTGTCTTGGAAAGTCATCAAAGGCTGCAAACGTCCTCATATTATGCAAGGCCATTAAAGTTCCTCTATTTCCTCTATAAAATATCGGAATTCTGATGTCTGCTGAAACACCTTGGTGGGAAAAACTTGTCAGATGATGTACCTCCCTCCTCAATAAAGCTGAAAATTCATTATGCCATGGCCATAATACCAGGATGCTGGCTTCCCTACCGTGGCAAGGTCATCCCCTCAGGGATGTTTTCACATAATCTAAGAGTAATTATAAAACAAACAGCAGAAGCCGTTGTTTCAGATAGCATCAGGGGCAGAAACACGCCACAGTGGCAGCAACACTTCAGAGAAATGGACGGTTCAAGCAGGAAACCTGAAAAAGCCTATCACAATAGTATCTACACATTCTCAGCCTTTACCAAAACAATAAACCCTGCATTTCCATTGTTGGCAAGAATGCAGATGGGTGGTTAGACATTTATGATGCTTTGTTTTCAAACATAGGTGACACAATTATAATCAAACCTACTTATTTTAATTGTTCCTATGAAAGAAGTCCCTAAAAAAAAAATTCAAAAAGCTTATTTTCTTATTTAGTTTTCTATGAAGATGAGTAAATACAATTTCACCTGGAATATGTCCAAAATTGTGCCAGAAAGACCTATAATTAGCCATATCTGAACATTATCATCCAAAAGCAACATATGGGTTTGCAATGTGAGTGTGAAAGGGTGTGTTCTTCTTCTGACATTTGTGATCTGAACAGCTGCACATAACAAAACTCACCTCTTTTTTGCATGAAACTGAAGAGATCATCAAGAAACTCCTTCCTTTTCTCATCATCGTCCAGTTCGTACAGCTGTTAAATGAAAAGATGATGCTTCGTTAGTATTTTGAGGATTTTGCTTTGTCATTACAGTTATGAAGCTATGAATGTCAAGCATATACAGTGCACGCCTTCTATGGTTAAATATAATATATTAAGGCTGGATGCTGATACACACACACCAGTGGAAAACCACATGCATTTTAAGGGCGCTTTTCCCTTTATTGGCATATCCATTATGTTTTCTCATCCTGTCCCCTCTCTCTGAATGGACATGCTCAAAAGAGCCTTTTAAAAGCCGTCTCGTGAAGGAAAAGATTGCAACATGATGGAAATATGCTCCTCAACCTTCACTTTCAATAAGCCTTAGGCTATGTTAACAGGCGAGCAGGTCGATACAGGAAGACAGAGGGATGACCTTTGGAAACAGCAGGGCACATGGAACAAGGCCGGAGATAATAACCGATCATTTAGGAGTGTATTAGCTGTCACCAATATTAAAGGACCAATGCAATCAATACCTCGGAAAAAGGTACAGTGGGTTTAAAGTGTGAAAAAGACACAACAGGCTTTTACCCATATGTGACATTTCCGAGACTTACAGCACAAATACAACATGTTCTGTTTGAAATATGACGAGCAAACAAAGAAAAATCTCTAATTGGGAATGAAGCTCTAAAATGCAGTAAAGCCTGTCAAGTCACCTGCATAGATGATATCTGACAAATTCTGTATATGCTTCATACTAAGGATGCACGATTGATCGAAATTAAATTGCAAAGGCGATAAATCGCGATTAAGCAGAAGCTGCGATTGTCATGCGTATCTTTCAGCGAAGCAGGGTTCTGTGATCAGCAGTAAATCTCCATCCGAAGGGCAGAGGGCACTCTCGCGCGGAAACTCCAAATACGCCTAGCAGAAGAAACCCAGGAAATGTCTTTAGCAGTTGCTGAATAAACAGAAGATTTAACTGCTTTCATTAATTCAACGTGACTAATAAACACACGACTACGACAATATATGGTTTATCTGAGTTCGTCTTATTATAATTTTTATTTAATCGTGGGATTATGAAATCGAAGAAATCGTTCTGCGATTATGAAAGTTGTTTGCGTAGCTTGTCAGTGAACTACGGCTCTGTGTAGTAAATGCTGCTCCATCTGAAAGCACATGCTGGAGATTTACTACTAATCACAGAACCGGCTTTACTGGCAAGATGCGCATGACAATCACATTCGATTAATCGTGCAGCCCTACTTCATACTTTCATGACAAAGGTGACATTTGAATCAAAGTTAATTTAAACAAATCTACCCTTGCTAAGTGGTTGTACATATGTGTGGGTTTAATGTGTTTGTGCAGATATCGATGCACAAGCTATGACATATGATCAACTGACTGGCAAGATGTTGAGCGATAGAATGCAAACCCTTAAGAACAAAGCACAGAATGTGTAACATGAGAATCCTGCTTCTCTTAATGTATGTAGATTTAAATACAGACGTTGCATAAGTCAGACAACAGAACATTCTGGGATAAATCAGGACTTCTATTATATCAAATTAAATTGTTAAATATTTCTAAACATTCTAAAAAACAAACTGATTTAAAAAAAATATATTTAAAGAAACATTTTAAAATAGCATTTCTATTTTTGAGATTTTCCTTATTTTACATACACTGCTTACTTTTATTTATCCAACACTCTGCCCACTTCAGTTGAAGTGCCAGCAGCCATAACAGTAAATTAGTCATTCATTAAGAGGTGATGTAATTGTGACACTGTCAGTTGCAGAGGTCATCACTAAGCTAGGGTGATCAGCAAAGGGGTAATTTAGTCAAAAGTGTAATGATGTCTACAACATTGCATTAAATATTAACAGATGGAAAATACATTAGAGCTCTGCTTCACCTTTGAGTGGTCCATTATGCTCATATTAGTTCTATTCCCAGCATTATGACTGCAGGAATGCAGAGCACTGATGCACGTAGTCTCACAAGACCCCCATGAACCTAAATCTTGGTGTGACTAGAATGATTCACAATTTGAAATCACTGATTATATGGCATAATCTATTTTGTTAAATCACATACCGTCATGTCCAAAAGTCTGTGACTACACTGATAAGCTGAGATTCAAAATCTAATTAACATCTGGGAAAAAAAACAACAACAGAAAGATAAAATATTTTGAAAAAAATGCATAGAAATGTACATTTTTAAACATGTAGTTCGAGTGCTAAAGGACAAAGGGAGACAATCCAAATAATTAATTTTACATATGACATTTATTGTGTTTATGATATAAGGTGAAATACAAATTGTGTATTACATTAGAAAAATGCTAAACATAAGCATTTCACTGTTCTCAGACTTTTAAACTGTATATAATAATTATAATAACTCATAAGTAATTCCATTTAAGCTGTTTTTCTAAACTAATAATAATAATGATAAATGTAACAAAATCTTTTAAATGCCTCAATTAAACTGACCGTTTATTGTTTAAAACCTCACTATGTGCACACAAGTCACATATCTATGTAATTCGTAAGCCAGTCTGGTCTGTCATTCCTTACTGATCTACTCAGTAGCTGAGCACACGTGTGTGGTCATCATGAAGCGCCTCAATGATTCCTCGTAGTTTCGGATGACACAAGCTGCTTATAGAGTCAAACCCCCAAGGCTGCAGTAACACTATGTGATCACACCCAGACTCATCCTTCAGCAACTACAGGTTCAACAAGTATGGGCAAAAGTATGTATATTTATGATATGAAACATATGAAATATGTTTGAGTAGCTTATGAATTACTTACTTCATTATGGCATTCACGTACTTAGATTTTTTGTGTAAAACATTTTTCATACTTACACATTTGTTTTTCAGACCTCATCGAAAGCAGGAAATACAAAGTAAAATATTTGTATTCTTTTAATCTAGATCTCAATACATCACTGTATTTTAAGTGTGCATGCTGAAAGAAGCATCTCGCCAGGATTTCAGTAGAGGGAGCTCTTCACAATGCAATAAATGATCACACACGACTGAAATATTTCACGTCTATCAAGACATTTTTACCAGCTCTTTCAGAACAAAACCAGACCAACAAATCAAGAAAATTGACTCTCAGACTGGGAGTAGAAAGAAAAGCATACACTTTTCTTGTGTTTATACAAACAATGTCCAAGATTTGTTTCACATATGAGGTAGATGAGCCAGTGACAGGGTGACATTCTTTTTGACTGAAAACACACACACCACTCGTTTTGTCAAAATCAACGAAGGGAGAGCTGGGCTATGAATTTGAACCCAGTTAAAGCTGCTACATGTCATACCAAAACCTGGAGGCTCAGCAGAGGGACTGACTGTTGACCTAAAGTTTGGAAATGCTTTTAGTTGCTCGTAACCTCTGCGACCTTGCAAATAATACACACCCGGTGTTATACTCGTGGATGTACTCATTCAAAATGATAGCTAACAGCACAGATGAAAGGCAAAAATGCAATTTAAAAATAAGGCAACGTAAAATAACTTAAGGTGTAAATATTAGTGGGCATATTTTCATTACAATCTTTGCAAAATTCACTTATTAAAAATAAGCTCATTCTGGTTGGTCAATCGTGGAATTCTGCTGTCAAATATTTTTGTATCATGGGCCGCTAATCCAGTTGTTCTCAACATTTTTGACTCCAAGGCCCCCACTGTCCACAACAAGTAGATTATTACAGTAGAATATTACAATTTCTACCTGATAAAATATTTTAGATCAAATAACTAGAAAAATGTATCTTCATAAAAAGAATAAAAATGCCTAAGGAATTAAAAGATTGTTACATAATTACACTTTAAATATTCTTCAAAGAAAAATAAACTGTTGAGGGGGTGAATTGAAATAAACATTACCTTGATTTTAGTTTTATAGCTTATTTTAATGCTTGTTTTATTTTAATTTTAAATCAAGTTATCTTGAGGCCCCTTGGTTGAGAACCAATACGCTAAACTGTATATTTTTATTCATACAGCTGTATATACAGTACATAAAGCACACATCTGTACATAAACTGTCAGATCTAATGCAAGTTACTTTTTTTATTTTTTTATTTATTATAATTTTTATTTTTCATAAATTTTACTTATTTAAATGTTCTTCTTTCTCTCGTGTTATATATGTACATTATGTATGCATGTACCCCACCCAGAGGTCCTGGTTACCACAACAAATCCCTTGTGTGTTTGTGCACACTTGGTGAATAAAGCTCATTCTGATTCAGACATCTTCTTCCTATACTGGGCTAGTTTCATGGCTCTCAAAGCACTCTACAGTTTATTTATTCTCACAATATATAATATATAATATAATACTTCAAATTAAAATCAATATTTAAAGTCCATATATTAATTCATTAGGTAAATAGCTGTGTAAAAAGCAAGATAATATACAGTTAGATAGTCATTATTGCAAAATATTCCCTTCAGGATGGTCTGATTGCCCTGTGAGGGTATATTTTGTGACACTGCCGTATATGATCTCTTATGTAAAGTTAAACTAAGACTAGAAGTACAGAAAATTAGTGTGCTGAATTTTTTTTTTAATGACTGGCATTATTGACCACTGTGAAATTAAGAACAAAAAGTTAGCGGAATAAATTATTTTGAGGGTAACAATCACCATCTGTGCTAACAAACCACTAATTAACAAGCATCAATACTAGGGAAAACAGAATCGATCACAAGAAGCTTCTTCATTGTTTACGGCACTGGTAGTGTGTGTGGACACCTGTGTGTCTGTGTGTGTGCATGCACCGTGTCCCAGAGCTCCTGGGAAACTGCTGGGCTTAATGTGCCTGTGTGTATTTGAATGTGAGTGTGAGTGTGTGAGAAGCACCAGCGCAAGGGAACAGGAGTTAATTAGAGAACAACACGACTGGTCCAAACTGGCTGACCGCCAGTGCTGCTTCCATTCCATTACACCCCC